TTGATTAGCTGCGTATATACGAATGTGAATCGCGTGATTGGCTGGACTACGGGATAAGGTGGCCTCATTCTGATCCCATACGGGAGCAGCCGGTCACTGACTAACACTGCAGAACAGAATTGTTAAAGTTTTCATTTTAACTTAAGGTTCGATTGTTTTCTGTGTGCAGAGACCTGCCAGCAGTGCACAACTGCACACGCGCAGCTTAGAGGGAACATTGCATATTATGTACTAATGTCCCACTGATCAACTCCCTCAACTTAAATGAAATCCAAATTATTTTCATATTTGGTGTCCTAAATATAATTCTAAGCACTCAAAGATTAATAGTAACTGTCTTTAACACTGTGGATAGTGTGTGGTGTCATGTTAAAGCCCTGTGAAATATTTGTTTGTTTTTGCATAAACAGCTGTGGTCAGCAGTGTGCATGGACTTATCATGGGCGTGAATATCACGGTCATTTTATGTTCTTGTTCCAAGGTGGATTCATGGCACAAAATACATGTTTAATGGCTTTAAATAAGAAGGTTACTTTAGCTTTTCTTTAATCCACAGAGAGACAAAACTGTGCAGACAGACTGAAATATATGAGTGTGCTGCTGAAGGCTCTGCAGTCAGAGTGATGATAGGCTCTAAGCCTAAAACAGATACTACATGTGAAGAAAGGTTTTAGTTATAATATCCCCTCACCCTTTAACAAAATTAAATCTAACTGAATAAAATGTGTGTAGTTGGTAAACGAACTAAAACAGCATGAAATTGTAAATATTCTGTGTTCATTTACGGTATGATTTGGTGCTGTACAACACAGGGTTTCTACAACCCCGTCGGGGAACTGGTTTAAAAAGGTTGTGTTTATATTGTAACACCTATACTGATTTTCATACATCTTACTCTAGTGTTTGCCATAAATAAAATAATAAGTAATAAAGACTAACACGGAAACTAAAGAAACAAAAAAGAAACATTTTCAAACAGAACAAAGGCGCAAACCCGCCCTCCAAACTAACTCGCACTAAGCTAAATGACAAACTAAGACTAATCAGAATCAGAATCAGAATCAGAATGGGGTTTATTGCCAGATGTTGAGGTTTACAACATTAGGAAATTGCTGCGGTGCTTCAGTGCAAACAATAAGAATTAAAGTGCTATGTAGAAAGAAAGATATGTGCATGAGATATATACATGAGAATAAGACTTATGAGTGCTACGTAGAAA